GCGGGTGGCTCCCGGCGGCGACAACAGCTTGGAAGCTCTCTGGGAGGCGCACATCGGATTGGGGCGGCGAACAGAAGAGCTTGAAACCGAATTGAATAGATTCTACAATGAAATCCGACAAGAACTGAGGGCGATTTCTGTCCGGCTGGATCGATTAGCTCCTTTGCGGGATATCCCTGGAGTCCGGCGATATGGCGACAACGACAGAAGGCTCAGGCGAGAACCACCAATGGATGAAGCATCCGATTCAAGGGAAGAAGTTGATGAATACCGACTATCGGGACTCTCGGACTCTGAGGATGGTGCTTTTAATGGCCACAGACGGAGGAATCAGCGGCGTAACAGAGAGGATAACAGGCCTCATAACGAATTCCGGGTAAAATTAGATATCCCCTATTTTGACGGTAAATTGCATATAGAGGATTACTCGGATTGGGAAAGAGCTGTGGAAACCTTCTTTGAATATATGGAGATAGAACCTAGCAAACAAGTGAAATATGTCGCTTGTAGACTCAAAGCTGGGGCGAGTGCTTGGTGGCAACAAGTAGCTCAAACGCGAAGAAGAGAAGGCCGCGGACCTGTTAGCAGCTGGAGGCGGATGAAGCAACTATTACGTGGACATTATTTGCCCACCGATTATGAACAAATGTTGTATCAACAATACCAACATTGTCGCCAAGGCAATCGATCGGTTAATGAGTATACCGAGGAGTTTTACCGCCTCAGTGCAAGGAACAATCTGAATGAAACAGCCAACCAGCTCGTAGCCCGTTATATTGGCGGATTGAAGGAATCCATACAGGATAAGCTCGAGCTCAATGCCGTGTGGTCCTTGTCTCAAGCAGTTAATTATGCTTTGAAAGTTGAAATGCAGGCAGTAAGGCATAATCGGAGCCATCCGTTTCGTCGCGGTAGCATGGGTTCAGAACCAGTGTCTGATAATGCACGAGCAGCAAATGCCGCGTCGCCTCAAGCTGGAAAGCAACCAAGTGTGCCTACTGGAACTATGGGACAGCCGGTAAATTCAGAGAAGCCGTTGGACAGCCGAACTGTAGGAAGAGGCAAGTCAGGTGCCAAGGAAAATCCATATGCCAAGCCTTCTAACATCAAATGTTTTCGATGCTTTCAACAAGGACATAAGTCAAATGAATGTCCTTCCCGTCCTCAATTACAACTGTTGGATGCTGAAGCTGATGAAGACTCTACCGATCCGGAAGCAACTGAAATTCAGGAAGATGTGGAAGCTGATGTGGGAGAACCGCTGGTTTGTGTAATTGAGAAGCTGCTTCTAGCCCCTAAACAACCCGGCGTGTCCCAGAGAAATGCCTTGTTCCGGACAAAATGCACAGTAGCTGGTAAAGTATGTGATCTGTTGATAGATAGTGGTTGTACAGAAAATGTAGTCTCCCGTGCTATGGTGCAGGCATTGCAATTAAAAACTACAAAAAGTTCCAATCCCTACAAGATCAGTTGGGTTAAAAAGGGAGTCGAATTGGCTGTAACTGAACTATGCAAAGTTACTTTCTCCATTGGCAAGCATTATGTCGGAGATGTTTTATGTGATGTGCTATACATGGATGTATGTCATATAATCCTTGGCAGACCATGGCAATATGATACCGGGGCTATATATGATTGCAGGGCTAATGTTTACTCGTTTGATTGGAAAGGTAAACGACTCCGTCTACTCCCGAGCAATGTGACTTCAGAACTGAAGGAACCTCGTGGCAAGACCAATCTGTTCGCTGTGTCCGCCACCGCCTTGGTCAATGCCTGGAGGGAGTCTAAGAGCATCATGGCTCTGATAATAAAAGAGATTTCCGAAGATACAAAACCACAACCTTTATCTGCGGGTGTGAAGCTACTGATTGAAGAGTTCGCTGATGTCTGTACCGACCGGCCCCCAGAAGAATTACCGCCAATGAGGAATATCCAGCATCAAATTGATTTGGTTCCGGGAGCTACATTACCAAATCTACCGCATTACCGCCTCAGTCCGAATGAGCACAAAGCCCTGTAACAGATTGTAGATGAACTCTTGGAAAAGCAATTGATCCAGCATAGCTTGAGTCCATGTGCTGTCCCGGCTTTACTTGTACCGAAAAAGGATAAATCCTGGAGGATGTGTGTTGATAGCCGGGCTATCAACAAAATTACCGTTAAGTTCCGCTTTCCGATGCCGCGTTTAGAAGAGATGTTGGAACGATTGGCAGGTGCAACGGTATTCTCCAAGCTCGATCTTCGCAGCGGTTATCACCATATACGAATCAGGCCGGGTGACGAGTGGAAAACAGCATTTAAAACTAGGGAAGGATTGTATGAATGGAGAGTTATGCCCTTCGGCATGTGCAATGCCCCTTCCACATTCATGAGGTTGATGAATGAAGTGCTCAAACCGTTCCTCAACCGATGCTGTGTAGCCTACTTCGACGACATCTTAGTCTACAGCAACACCTCAGAGGAACACCTGCTACACTTAAAAGGTATTTTGGAAACTCTCAGGAAGCATAAATTATATCTTAACATGGCCAAATGTGAATTCGCAGCATCTATAGTGTCCTTTTTGGGCTTCCGAATCTCTGCTGAAGGCTTATGTGCCGATCCAAAAAAAATATCAGCTGTCCTCGACTGGCCAACTCCCACGACACTCACAGAGGTTCGAAGTTTCCACGGCTTGGCCAATTTTTACAGGAGATTTATAAGAGGTTTCAGTCTAATTACAGCGCCTATCACTGATGTTCTTAAAGCTAAAAGTTTCGTGTGGACGGAAGCACAACAAGACAGTTTCTAGAAAATTAAAACTGCTCTCACCACGGCCCCTGTTTTGGCAATGCCGAATTTTGACAAGCCCTTCTTGGTTGAAACGGATGCCTCTACAATTGGCATAGGCGCTGTTCTCTCACAAGATAACAGGCCAATTGAATTTTTTAGTGAAAAGCTGAGTTTACCTCGGCAGCGCTGGACCGTCTATCAACAAGAGCTTTATGCTGTGGTTCGGGCTCTCAAACAGTGGGAACCATACTTGCTTCACCAAGATTTTGTTTTGTGCAGCGACCACAAAGCTCTTCAATACATCAATACACAAAAAGACATAAATCGAATGCACGCACGGTGGCTTATGTTCTTACAAAAATTCACATTTGTACTCAAGCATAAGAGCGGGGCACAAAATCGGGTGGCCGATGCTTTGAGCCGGAGAGCAGCACTGATCACACAGTTACAGACTGAATTTGTGGGCATTAGTTCGTTACAGGATCTATACCCGGAAGATGATGACTTCTCGGACGTTTGGCACAAATGTCTTAAGGCGGAGCCAGTCCCAGACTACTCAATAAGACACGGATTCTTATTCAAAGGCAATCTAATGTGCATTCCTAAATCATCATGGCGTCAACAGATTATCAAAGAGGTTCATGGCGGAGGACTGGCAGCCCATGCTGGGCGGGATAATACAATTCAACAACTTCAAAGTAAGTTTTTTTGGCCACATTTAAGGCGAGATGTTGCTAAGTTCATTGAGCGCTGTTCTATCTGTCAAAATTATAAAGGCGGCGGCCAAAATACGGGCCTTTATATGCCGTTGCCGGTACCTGAATCCATATGGGAAGATCTAAGCTTAGACTTCGTCCTGGGCTTACCGAAAACTCGCCGCGGCAATGATTCTATTATGGTCGTTGTCGACCGTTTTTCCAAAATGGCGCATTTTATACCGTGTAAAAAAACGTTTGACGCCATGAATATTGCCAAGTTATTTTTCAGGGAGATTATTCGACTGCACGGCATTCCAAGATCTTTAACGTCCGACAGAGACGTTAAGTTCATAAGTCATTTTTGGCGAGACTTATGGAGGCGTATGAACACCAACCTGCAACTCAGTTCTTCCTACCATCCGCAAACGGATGGTCAGACGGAGGTGGTAAACCGGACTTTGGGCAACCTGCTTCGCTGCTTAGTACAAGACAATCCGAAACTCTGGGATGATGTTCTTGCACAAGCCGAATTTGCCTTTAACTCTTGTCCGAATAGATCGACGGGTACTTCTCCATTTAGCATTGTTTACACTAAGCTTCCAAATACTATTGTTGATGTTGCAGTATTACCGAAATGTACCAACAAAGCGGCATCAACCCTTGTGGACCAATTCACGAAAATGTTGGGCAAGGTGCGGCTCAAACTAGAGGAATCAAATCTGCAATATAAACAACAGGCGGATCTCCATCGCCGCGAAAAGATTTTCAACCCAGGAGAGCTGGTCCTAGTACGCTTGAAGAAGGAACGTCTATCGCCAGGAGCTTACTCTAAATTGGGACGACGCAAATTTGGACCATTTCCTGTCAAGCAACGCATCAATAATAATGCTTATATTATTGATTTGCCTGCTGAATTCACCACCTCTCACACTTTCAATGTGGCAGATATCTACTCATACTCTCCTCCTGATGACAGCCTAACCAACATTGATTCCGGTGGAATCAATTTTCTCACGGCGGGAGCGAATGATGCGGAGACATAAGACCGGCACAGGAACATCATTTGACACTCATGAACATGCTCGATAAGAAACATGCTAAAAAGCTTCTTGATAAACTGAATAATTGTTCGATAAGGACCTTGTAAAATATTATATATAAATATTGATTAAGTCTCATTATAGATAGAGTTTATTCATGATCAAAACATATTTGTTGATGTTTGATAGACTATTTTATTTTAGGGTTCATTAAAAATCTCTTTTATTAAAAGTATCATTTATGAGCTTGACAAGCAATTCGTTTATGGGTTGGAGAAAGCTCGATAAGCTTGCTTGTTTATGGGCTAAAGAAAGCTTGATAAATATGTTTATTAACAAGATCGATATAAATGTTAATACTTATTAGTAATCTTGATAACATTCATTTGTTAAGCTAATCTTCAGTTCAATATAGCTTGATAAGGCTCGTTTGTTAATTTAAACGAGCTGCTCGTTTAAAACTCGATAAACACTAAAAAATCGAACGTTAAACTAAATATAAACATATGTCATTTTAAATGAACCAAGATTAAACACAAATATAAAAGTTCAAAATTGAGCTCGAATATGAACGAGCTTATGATAAACTAAGCTAGTATCATTTGCTTATTTAAGGGAGAGTAAACCTTTATGAAACTAGATGACCACAAAATAATAAAGGGAGTACAAATAGCCATTCCACAAATAAGATCAGCCAACCATCTGCATTGTGAAACCACGACCACATAAATGCCCATGGAAAATGCCACCAACATTGCTACTAGTGCAACCTGTACGCAAAACTGGGCAGTAATGATGACGCTCAATCTTTGGTCGCGCTCTGGAGAGCTACTACTAATTAGCAAGAAGGTTATGCACATAGAGCTTGCCATTGCAATGGTATCAGAGATAAGGAACACCTTGAAAGCTACTTTCTTAGCTAGAATCGCCATGCCTTGTCTGTGGTTACTATCATCATTGTTGTAACCTCCAGGCAAGGTGAAAGCAGCTGCAAATGTAACTGTAGCAATGAGTACTGCCACTATTGCAAGGTTATTTGCCATTGCTCTATGTCTGTCAAGCTCTTCTTCTGGATAATCTTGATCCTCAGGCATCATGATGTCCATTCGGTGAGGGCCAAATTTGGTGCCAGCAGAGTTCAATTTTTCTATCATAATCCTCTGCAAATGGACATTTAAAAGAGTTTCATTAAAAAGAGTTTGAGTTGTTTCTAAAGGCTTCAACTTCATTTGCTTAAAATAATTACTTCAATTCATTTGTTGATATGAAGTCATACGTACCCTCCTGAAGCCAAATTTGGAGGCATCAATTGATGAAGCTACATCAAGGGGAGTGAGACCTTTGCAGTTTATAATATTTTTATCGACTCTGTTATTTGACAACAAAAGGCGGACGATTCTCCACTGGCAGTTCATTGCAGCCAAATGCAATGGTGTGTTTCCCTCGTGATCTGTCTCATTTATGCTCTGTCTGAGTAGAGGATTTCTAAGAACTTGTCTCACCACTATTATCATTCCCTTCTTTGCAGCAACATGAAGAAAATTGTTTCCATCATAATCAGTAAGCTCAGTGGCATCAGGGCAATGGCGGAGTATCTCCCAAATAACTTTCGTATAGCCCTTGCTTGCTGCTATGTGGATGGCTGAGAGGCCCTTGTCGTCCAGGAGATGAGCTATTGTAGCGTTCGCTTTTAGTAAAAGACGCACCATCTTTACATCTCGAAGGGAAACTGCGTAGTGAATGGGGGCGCTTAGGGAGGCATCCGCCTGTAGGTTTAGTGCCGGTATTCTTTCCAGTAGAATCTGCGTAATATCTGAAGACCGACCTTACAAAAATTAGCTACCACAACATGCAAAAAAAGATAAATATTCTTTTTCGTTTTAGTTTTGCTTGGACATCTCCGCAATATCTGAAAACCTTAAAATCTTTTTATAATTAGTTTATACTTGAAGTATGTTTGTTTAGATCGATCTAAATTTAAGTCTTCATCTTTCAAGTCAAATTCTCCGTTACAGGTGGAAAAAAAAAACAAAACAAAATTTGTGGAGAGCTTCTTGTACAGATTTATATTAGTAGTATAATATAAATGGTCAAAATTTTGATTTAAAAAAATAACCATAGAAGTCCTGACATTTCGCATCACATCATAATTATTTCATAGTTACTATATAAACTCCTAACAAAAAAGGGGAGTTGAACGAAGCTATAAAAACATAACTCAAAGTGAGAGATTCTATGTTCTTTAAGGGATTTCTATGTAATAGTCTTGGTGATTATGTGACTATGAGTATCTCCGGCGAATTTTGTAGGGCAATACATAAAATTAAAGAATAAAAAAACATAAAAGAATAAATGTGATTAACTATTTTTCTTTTTAAATAAAAAAAAACATAAAAATAAAGAATAAAAAATAAGCTTCGCCATACTAGTCATTGAGTTTCAGGAAAATTTCTCCGTTATAGGTGTTATAGTTGTAGGTATTTTTATAAATTTATAATAGCAATTTAATCCTACAAAATACAAATATTGCTAAAAAGATGTTGATCTTTTATAGAAATGGGAAATTCGTGGCGGTTACCATAGCTTCGGCAGACGGCAGCATGCAGAGCAGTTTGCCCTCGAGGTCCTCTATAATCCACCTCCGCACATCCAAGCAACATTTCCACAATCTCCACTGAGCCTCTCACCGCTGCTAGATAAAGCGGAGACTCTCCATCTCCGTTAACCATGCACGTCATATTCTCTCCAACAGCTAAAAGTTGGCGGACAACTTTGGCATGGCCGCCTCGTGCAGCTTCGTGCAAAGCGCTATCCTCGCGTTGGTTCAACACTCCCGTCATTTGCAATCCTGCTCCATGATCGATCAGCAATGATAGGATCTGGTCATGGCGTGCACGGGCAGCGCAGTGGAGGATCGTGTCGCCTTTTAAGTTCTGGTGCTGTAGGAGGTCCAATTCAGGGAGATTGCACGCCTCGATGATGGGCCAGATGTTGCCGAGGCTTGCGGAGATGTGGAGTATGCTGTTTCCTTTAACGGTGATGCCGTAGAATCGAGTTGGGTCATCCTGGAGCAGCGCACGGAGGCGGGCCATGTTGCCCCCTCTAAGGGCCCTGAGGCAGCTTGGGTGCATTTTCGTGGCCATATGGGGGGTGAGCGGATAAGCGACTTTTTTTTTTTACCATCCCATCTGCTTTATAGCATTTCAGGGCAACCCGTTCAGAGTCGAGTCTTCCAGCGGGAAGGTTCGAAGAAAGCTAGGATCGATGCATTTTCATGGCCATGTAGGGTTGAGAGCGACTGTTTTCTAACCATCACCTGTGCTTGATAGCGTTGCAGGCCAACCTGTGGTTTACAGTACCTTGGAGTCAACTCTTCCATTTTCATGGCCATGTAGGGTTGAGAGCGACTGTTTTCAATGCTTGGGTGCATGTCATTTTCCTCTCCACTGTTTTCTCATCATCAATGACCTGTTTTAATAATAACTTTATAATCATAAATGCTGCCACTAAACTAAAATCTCAATCATAAGAAATTAATTTAATTGACCTAAATATTCTAAATAAAATCTCAAATCATAAAAGTTAACCATTCTCAAAATTAATTTACAAAGATCTCTCTCTCTCTCTCTCCACTAGGGGTGTAAACGAGTCGAGTCGAGTCAAGTTTAGGCCTTATCGAGCCCGGCTCGTCAGTCGGAAAGCGAGCTCGAACTCGAGCTCGACAGGCGAGCTTGAGCTCAAGCTCGTCCCACTATAAATGAGCTCAACCCGACTTGCGAGTCATGGACTGAATTTTTTAGTGTTTTGCTGCAATCATAGAGTCTTCTAACGTAAAGCAACATGAACACTTTTTAACACAATGCTCACCACATTTCTTCCTTTTAGACCCAAAGAAAGCCACCCAACACAAGGCATGCAAAACTTACATCAACTCAACTTGAATTCTCAAATGAAACATAAAGCATATGAAGGCTTTCTAATCTTAGTGAGATGCGTCAAGTAACTACAAGTGTATGTATGTAAATGAAAGTTCTAAAATTTTTGTGCTCGTTTATTTCTTTAACTCACATTGAATAAAGCTCAGATTCATCCAGGCTTAGCAAAATAAAACCTACAACAAGTTCGTAAACATTAATTAATAGAAAATATTGGAGCACAAATACAAAATTCTTCAAACCCCTTTTGACAAGAATACCTCTAAGCATAACCTTATTTATGCGCTCTTTCATTGATGGAACAATTATCAAACATAAACCCAACATCTCTATATTAAATCCATACATACCTACAAATTTGAGATATAAAACATGCCAAGTGATTACTCATGAAAATATATTACAAAAGGAAAAGGTATTTCAAGTTGTTCATATCTATCATTTCAACCTAACACATGCATTAACGAGAGAGACTTAATATCGCTTTCATCTCGCATTCCAATTCATTACACATGTTGGCTACAAATCAAACATCTAGCAAACAAAGTATCTCGATAACCATTTGTGGTAACATGACATCAATTAGCCATAGATGAAAATTTAGTAACACTACAAGTGACTTGCTAGAAGAGTATCATGTCATCCTTGATGCTTCATTGCTAAGGTAGAATAAGAGCCAACAATATCGAAATAGCACTAAGAAAGGAAATAATCACATAAGTGCGTATGTATGTGTGTGCACACTTATCCATTTGACACTGAAGCTTTGTATAGATGAAAGCGAAGACAAAGAAAAAGATTAGGAAATTAGCCCCTTTGAGGCATTTAGTCAAACACCTAGCATATAATACATGAGAGATGACACAAAATAACCCATTTGAAATTATGCTATCATACCACACAGCTTAATTTCCTAGAAAAGAACTTTATTAAGAGGGTATCTAACTAAAGGTAAACCCATCCTCTACACATTAGAACACTTAATAAAGTTCTTTCCATATTTTCTTCTTCCTCTATTCTTCAATTAGTCCAAGTAAAGATATATAAAAGAAGAGAAAAGGAATAAGAAGAAGCAGGGAAGGAAGGGGGAAGAGGTTACCTGCCTTCAAGGGGAAGAAGATATATATTTATTTATTTTTCGTAAATTTATTCTATTAGAATTTATTGATTAAAGATATATATTTATTTGAATTTTATTTAAATGATTTTAACATTTTATTTATCAATGAAGAATTTAGAGCTGGTTTTAATAGGGTTAGAGTGTTAACTTAGTGAATTTTGGTTCGAATTAAAATATTTAATTTGATTAGTTTTGATTCGATTTTAAATGGCTCGGGTTGAGTCAATTCGGGCTAATCGGGGCTATTGTCCTTTAAATCATACTCGATTTGAGTTAAATACCAATTGGGTTGACTTGATTTGACTTAGGTCGAGTTATCGAGTTAAGTCGATGCTACATTATTAGGCATCCTCCTAAGAGAAGTCCTAGAAGAGTAATGTCTACACTAGGCTACAAAAACCTATGCGCTAAAGATTGAATTGGAGAAATTGACCTCAAATAATGAGGTCAATAGATGTGTCATAAATAAATACAAAAGAGATCAAACACTCATAGAAGAGATACCAAGATTTATATTGTTTGACTTCAACCAAGCCTCATACATGATGGAGGTGAGAATTTGATCCATTAATCAAAGAAGCCACAAGCATGAAGGACAAGTATCAAGACATTCAACAACTCATTACTTTTTTTTTTTCTTTTGCAGGTTCAAATCTGCAAGCTTCTTTTTGATGTATGGTGCAACATAGAATAAAGCATGAAGCTACTGAGTTTTATCAAGGGCATTGTTGAGCTTGCTCGCCCTGTTGTGATGCCCATGATCCTTAAGGGCATGGAGATCTCTAATAGGCCCAAGCAAATAAGCTAAGCATTTTCATTTTATTATATATGAACATGGGTATATGACCCTGGTTGCATAATACTAATTTATTATTGTACAGTTTATAGATAAGGTACCTGATGCGGTGCATCTTAGTTAAAGAGGACCTTAGGAATAGCTTATCTAATTTAGTACCTTTTTCTAGAGAGTTCTAGGCATTTCTATTATATTGTTATAAATAGTTGCTATAGGTAGAAGAAAGGCATGAATGAATATTTTTGGAATTTGAAACAGTTTTCACTGTTTTTGATCTTCAAGAGCTGTTTAGCTCTTTTTCTTCTTCTCCATCATGCTTCTTTGGTGATTTTCCCCACATCAGATGGTATCAGAGCGAGGTATGACCCTTGACGTCGATCAGGGCCCTGGGCTGCTGCTACATCAACCCTTGACGTCGATCGGGGTTTTGGATGCTTGGGAAAGGCCATGTATGAAGCTAGGTTGTCGACGACGTTCGAAGCCTCCACCAGCCGGCAACCATACCGGCGAATCTACACATCCCGCTGGCAACCATACCAGCGATTCCATCGTCTGGCAACCATACCAGCGATTCCATTGTCTGGCAATCATACCAGCGAATCGCTCTCCGATGGCAACCATACCATCGGAGATCCCCTCACAAAATTTCCCCATCCGCGACCTTGGTCGCGTTCCTCGCAGTCGACTCCTCGATCCGAATATGTGCCATTGCTTGTCCAGTATGCCCGAAAGATACTCGCGGCAGCAGGCATCCGCTCCGTTCCGCATGCCCGTCTTCCTAATTACGCCCGCTAATCTTTCGTTCTCCGTCCGCTCCCACGCGCTTAGACCCCATTCTACCCGAATGCAATCCGCGTGTTCGATTGTCTCTGCTCGCAGAATACCAATCGCATCAGCGTCCCTCTCCATTCCAACCAACAGCCGACATCTTCCACTCATTCTCACGAGTAGCCTCTCCTTGAAGCTGTTGAGGCCAGCCAACAGGAGTGCTGCTTGGATTTCCTGATCCCTCTCCATAAGCGACTGTGACTTCCCACGCTCATATCTCCCCCGCACGACCTCATGTTCCATCCCTCGTAGATCCCGCTCATTACGCCTGAGCCATTATCTCTCTGCAAAGTCTCTCACTCTGCGCTCTAGAAGCCTGAGGAACTTGAGCTATCAGTACAGCAGCGGAGCTGATGGCCGTATAGAGATGGTTTCTAATGCAGACAATGATCACAAATATCCAACTCCTGATAGCTATTTCTTCAAACTTCTAAAATTAAATGCCCCTGAATGGCCTTATGCCATCTTGGGAACTGTTGGTTCAATCTTCTCTGGGTTCATAGGTCCAACATTTCCAATAGTGATGAGCAATATGATAAAGGTGTTCTATTATCCTGATCCAAACACAGTGGAGAGGAAGACGAGGGAATATGTTTTTATATATTTTGGAGCAGGACTTTATGGAGTAACATATGCAAAATGCATCACAACTAAGGAAGAAGTTATAGATGCTGCACGGGCAGCAAATGTTCATGGTTTTGTTAGTGAGCTTTCGGATGCTAGACGCCTGTTGGTGAAAAAGGTGTGCAACTCTCTGGAGAATAGAAGCAGAGGATTGCAATGACAAGATCAGTGCTGATGGACCATCCCGACGGATAAGCAACAAAGAATTAACTCTAAGTTCCATCCGACTGAGTCGGATTTTTCAGATGCATGGGGTGAATGATGCGGTGCATCTTAGTTAAAGAGGACCTTAGGAATAGCTTATCTAATTTAGTACCTTTTTCTAGAGAGTTCTAGGCATTTCTATTATATTGTTATAAATAGTTGCTATAGGTAGAAGAAAGGCATGAATGAATATTTTTGGAATTTGAAACAGTTTTCACTGTTTTTGATCTTCAAGAGCTGTTTAGCTCTTCTTCTTCTTCTCCATCATGCTTCTTTGGTGATTTTCCCCACATCAGAATAGGTAGAAGAAAGGCATGAATGAATATTTTTGGAATTTGAAACAGTTTTCACTGTTTTTGATCTTCAAGAGCTGTTTAGCTCTTCTTCTTCTTCTCCATCATGCTTCTTTGGTGATTCTCCCCACATCAGTACCTGAGGAGATTGTTCGTTGGGCTAGAGAAAAACCGGTCGGCTGGCCCTTCTTGAATTTTCAATTCCTCCGTCAAGATGATTCCTTATAGTTCATTGATGTCACCTTTAGATTCTATGGATCATGAGAAGACCATCAATGTAAACCAAAGATCCTAATAATGTTGTGCAAACAATCACAATGAAAATAAAATCACCTAATAAGGACTAGTTTCACCAATGTTGTCTCTCTCTTCTTTATGGCAACATGAAGAAAATTGCTGCCTTCAATATCAATGAGCTCAGTGGCATCTGGGCAATGGTGGAGTATCTCCTCGATAACATTGGTGTAGTCCTTGCTTGCTGCGATGTGTACGGCTAAGAGGCCATGGTTGTCCAAGAGATTTTGCGCCGGAAGTCCGACGATACAACGAATCATATCGTGTGTTCCGGCGCCTTTGTTCGGACGGAAACTACCGGCGTAAGTACCGGCGCATAGTCCGCCGTTAATTACCGGCGTATACTTTGCGTCGCAGAGAGTTCGTGGGTTTCCTACATGCACTTTGCGGCGTCATATCCGCCGGTAATGGCCGGCGCATAATGCGACGATAATTACCGGCGGAAATGGCGCCGGAATTAAGACGTTTTTCAACGTCGAAAATGATCCGTTTTTTCGCCGGTAATGC